GGGTGATGAGGTCGAGGTAGAGATGGGTATCAATGTGAACTCCGGTTCATTTCAAGATGGGCATCAATGTAAACTCCGGTTTATTTCAGGTATTTTAGGTAGAGTTTTCACGAGCTACAGCAAGCTGTGCAGCTCACATACAGACTGTGCAAGGTAAACCAGGATAATACGCGAGATAAAGGGTCCCATTAGCCTTCTATAGTGAAATTGATGTGGCATGTTCTTGATTTTTGAAAACCGTTTGTTAAATGTTTGTTTTTGAGGGCCTTCAGAATCAGATGGATCATTTTTTTCCATACAAGTACGTTCGAAACGTTTTGTCACGTTTCTTGAAGATTTTTACCGTTCCTTAGTGAATAGGTAATAAAAACTTATCTTTAAAAAGAACACCAATAATTAATTACGACGTCCAGTGCTAGTTGGAGGGGGGTTGAAAAAGCTAAGTTTAAAAACTAATTTAAATGAATCTTAATTTAAAAGTTTTATTTCGCCAAGGATTATGAATACAGAGATATTCAAACTTAATGGGAGTTTTCGCTAAGCATATTTCATTGCTCAATGATTTAAAAACCGGTATTAAATAAATTTTGTGCATTTTTTTTTGTATAGATTCCATGGACCATTCAAAATCTTCTAACTCTGCCCTTTTTAAAACACACTAAAATATGGCCTTTCTAAATTGGGCAACATTTGCTTTGAAATGTTTCTTTTTTGAATCCAGCAAAATATAAATTGTTGTTTTAAAGAAATGTTGATAAAAGTTTTATTTTTACCTTTTCACAGTTTCCAGGGCACTCTGCACTTTTATCCCAAACCTGCATCTGAAAACAATTTGGATAGATATATATTGATTAAAATTACTAAACTTATTTTAATTACTTTTTTTCTACTTGTCTTTTAAACCAATACAGTGATAACCAGAAAACTCTGAAATAGGAAGACGACTTTTAGTGTCCAGTTCTAGTGATCAAATAAGTGTATAGTAAACCTGTTTGCGTGTAACAGTATCAAATACCTGCACTTAAATGCTGTAGTGTCGTCTTCCTTTTCAATTGATTTTTCATTATAACTGTTTACGCGCTGATTTGTAAATACTTTTTAATCAGTAAATTTCAAGAATTAATTAACAATTGATCAACTATTTTTTCTTTTTTTTTTACAAAA